TATACCGAATCTTCAGAATTATTCGTATAATTAAAATTTATTTGTCTTCTTTTCAACTTTAATATTTTTTGGATGTTCAAAATGTTACGATCTTCTTCATTTCTTCATGCTTATTACAGAATATATCGGGAGAAGTAAAATAATTGTTAATTTAAAACAAAATTCCAATTGTATAAATATTTATTTTTACGTAGGATAAATATATACGTAATTCCTATATTTTGTAATGCATTTTCAAGTTTTCTCTATTATTTTTTCATGCTTATTACAGAATAGATCGGGAGAAGTAAAATAATTGTGAATTTAAAACAAAATTCCAATTGTATAAATATTTATTTTTACGTACGATAAATATATACGTAATTCTTATATTTTGTAATGCATTTTCAAGTTTTCTCTATCATTTTTTCACGCTTATTACAGAATAGATCGGGAGAAGTAAAATAATTGTTAATTTAAAAGAAAATTCCAATTGTATAAATATTTATTTTTACGTACGATAAATATATACGTAATTTCTGTTATATTTTGTAATGCATTTTCAAGTTTTCTCTATCGTGTCTTCTGAATTTAGCGCGAAAACGGGATACGATCGAAGTGTCTATAGCGCGTTACAGATTTGATTTACATCCAGCCCCGCGTAATCGAGGAAAGATTAGACAGCGGCCAGCTGCCGGGTCAGCGCACCGGCGCGGCATGGCGATCGTGACGATGGGGGTGTGCGCTCTCGTAGATGAGGCTTGTCGAAGGGCAACACGAGCCGATGCTCTCACACTAATCACCCTGACTCGGGCGCACGAGCCCTCGAACTAAACCCTCCGCTGCTTTTTGCCGCGTCATTCATAAGAGGTCCGAGATTTCCGCATGATAAGTCAAGCCGGCCGATTTGCTCGCTGTATCTATCGATCACTATACTGCATGCGAGTTTCGATGAAGCAAAAGATGCTGACAAATATTTATTAAAATACATATAAATTATACGATTAAAAAATGATGGTCTTGAATAAAGGATTTTTATTTTTCATATCAAACTAATTCAGTTGGTGTACTATTTTTTGAATTATAATAAAAATAAGATTGATTGATTGATGATAAAAAAATATCAATGGCTCATAAATTATGTTCCGTTTATAATAATTTCTTTTTTTTTAACAAATAACTTTTCGCTCATCCCCGATACGCGATTAAATATCTCGAACGCAGGATTCTCGTGTCAGCCAACCATGTTAGAAAAATCGATCGCGTTCCATAAACATCCGCAAACTCATAATACTACACACACTCGTCGCATCGGGATGACCACAGCCGGGCAATATCGCCAACAACATTGCACATACCATTTAATTTTATTCGCGGCCTCAGCGAGCTATGCGGGGCGGAAATATATCGGTGCTCGTATCCGCGGAAGCTTTATAAATATTGTCGCGGTGATATCTCTGTCGCGCCTTATGCGAATCCCCAACCCCTGGATATTCAAATGTCAGCCGGGATCAGCGGGCTCTGACAACGTTTTAGCGCCTCGAAATATTATTTGCCACCCCATCGCCTCGTCGGCTCCTTCGTCGCCGTCGCGGCGACGTCCATCGTCGATTCGCAAGAAGGAGGAAATACAAGGCAAGCTTTTCCCGGCGAAGAGGGTCGATCTCTCTTTATTCCGACGCGGCTTAACGATTCAATAACCGATCGGGCGCGATCGCAAATCCTTATAGTTTGCATCGAAAGTGTCTGTGACATTCTTCTCCCATCGTTCACTTGTCACTCGCTCGAGAGTTGCACCCTTTTTTCACATATTAATGTTTTGTAATGTGTGTTTGCTCGGTTCTTTGTTTAAGGATGTGATTTGTACTTTATATTAAAACTTTTAATGCTTTTTATCACCTTTGTCAAATTTATTAACATTATACAGGGTGTCTAGCGGTTAGGGGAATCTGGAAAACCGGGCATCGTCAGGGAATTTTATAAATCTGAAATTGTCAGGGAAAAGTCAGGAAATTTTACTACTTTTATCTGGATTTTTTCACATTATTCTACATTTGTCTCAATAATTTGACATTTTTTATTAAATAAATAATAAATATAAACTTAATTTTCTGTGCTGTTAAAAATTGATTCAATGTGTTTGATATAGAGACAAAACTAAAAAATTTGATATATATATATATATATAAAAAAGGTGATTATTGAAATAGTTTATAGTGACGTGTTTGTTTCGATTATACATAATGCAGATTGTATAATTAATTAAAATTTTTGTTTTAACTTCCGAACTTTTTTATTGTTGACAAAATATCTCAAGGATTTCATGATTTAACATTTAATTGATTTATCATATAGATATATGCAAATTATATATTTGAAAAAAATAATACGAAAAAGTCAGGAAAAAAAATTAATTTCTGGTCTTGGAAAATCTGAAAAAGTCAGGGAATTTTTTCATTGGGTCTGCTGGACACCCTGTTATATACTATATCAATCAGTTGATTAGCTTCTTTCCGCAACTATGAATAGTAATCATTTCTGTTGCGAGACAAACCACGAGTGTGCGTGCTCGAATTTATGTGCGGCAAATTTTGTTTAATCGTTGCCGAAATAATTCAACCGGCGACTGTTGCTTGTCCACAAACAGATCTCGATGCACTGATAGAATCCGTCGTATACGGTAATTTTGGGTTTACGAGCGCGCGCGAACGGGAATAAATCGAACACGCTGAATCTCTGCGGTGACGGAACTTAATTGACTCGGTGAAATCCGTCAGACTCCGTTCGCGGTTCTCACAGGCTTCGCGATTTTCGGAAATGGAGCCGATCCCTCAAACCTTTAAGGGGACATAAAACCGGTCCGGCGCGTCGTTTGCGTTTGAATTATGCATTCGCGCGACAGAAAGTGCGGCTTCTACTGCTCCCTCCATCGCGCGATAATTGGATCTGTAATTTCGTGCGGCTTTTCAAGAAGACGAATAAAGCCGCGTCTTTGACTCTTGAGTATTTTTTTTATGAACGCATTTTTCCTTCCGTGTATATAAAAAGTGGTACGAGTGTCGTATATTTTGTGATAAGAAACTTGTTGAACGTATAAAACATAAAATATGAGATGCTTAGTATAACAAATATTGATAATGCATTTTTTTAACTTCAGATATATCCACTTATTTTTCATTTTTGCATAAGTAATATATCGACTTGCGATTTTTCACTTTGTATTTTGAGCTATTAACTGGTGTGCCAATTTTCGATCATCAATTTTTATTTTGTAACTTTAAAACTTGACGCTACTTAACATTAACTTTTAAATTGTTCTACTGTTTATTTACACAAATCTTTATACTCAAATTTCTGAATCTTTATTCCACAGTTTATAAATTTCAATTTTTTAAATTTATTTTTAAATAGTTTCCAAAATTCATTGCTATATATTTAAGCAGTTTCTTTTTCCTCCATTTTTACAGTAAACTATTTTTAAAGAGAGAAAGGATGTTTTGGCCAAGTTCTTTGTTTTAATCCATTTAAACATTTGCTTCATTAATGAAATTGCGTAATCTATCATTTAGGTATTAGAAAATGATCTTTCGTATGCAGCAGTTTATCATCGCGATCCTTTTGTCGAATCACTATAGATCACTATTTATTTCTTGGTCGTACTCGCTGGTCTTTGAAACAGATCGTCATAATAGCTGCAGTTCTGCGGATCTCTGCAGGAAGTGGCTCTTATAACCGCAGAAATAAGTTTGGCGCCATTACCAGTGTGAATCGTAGATCGTAAAATCCGAACGAACAATCGCGCATTCGCTATATAACGACGCAAAGAAACTTACTATAGTATTTATTGAAGCATTTTATCGCAATATATACTTATTATTTTCGTAGGTTGTTTGACAATTTTTCCAAATTGTATTTCGGTGATCATATATTTATAATATACTTTTTCTTCTTCTTAAAATTGCTGTAGTTATATTTCTCTTCAATATAGTCGAAAATAATGTGTATAACTGTATATAATAATTTTTTAAATTCCTTAAACATATTATATTTACCTTTATTAATTGTGTTTTTGTTTATAAACAATTTTAATATTTTCGTAAATATATAATTGATATATATTTACAAGTTACTCTTATACATTTTAAGGCAACAGAGTACTTAAAGTCTCTGAAGAAAAATTATGTCTCAACTCGCAGTTGCTGTAGTTATATTTCTCTCCAATATAGTCGAAAATAATATGTGTGTATAACTGTATATAATAATTTTTTAAATTCCTTAAACATATTATATTTACCTTTATTAATTGTGTTTTTGTTTATAAACAATTTTAATATTTTCGTAAATATATAATTGATATATATTTACAAGTTACTCTTATACATTTTAAGGCAACAGAGTACTTAAAGTCTCTGAAGAAAAATTATGTCTCAACTCGCAGTTGCTGTAGTTATATTTCTCTCCAATATAGTCGAAAATAATGTGTATAACTGTATATAATAATTTTTTAAATTCCTTAAACATATTATATTTACCTTTATTAATTGTGTTTTTGTTTATAAACAATTTTAATATTTTCGCAAATATATAATTGATATATATTTACAAGTTACTCTTATACATTTTAAGGCAACAGAGTACTTAAAGTCTCTGAAGAAAAATTATTTCTCAACTCGCAGTTTACAACTGTTCACATTTTATTTCGGAGAACGATTTACATGCTCGCGTTAATAAAATACAAAGTTGCTATCCCACACATACGCGTACGCACACACACGCGCGCGCGCGAATTTTACTGTCGTCGAGCAGCGGCGAGGCGAAAGACTCGTATCGCGGATTGTAAATGTTACAAGATCCAACGCGGGGAAGGACGCGGAATCGTTAGTTGCAAAATCGTAATGCATCGCGGCCGCGAAACGATCCAGTCCCTCTCTCACGGGGAATTAGCTTGGCAATATAAGTTTACAGCATTCTCTCTGGATCGCCGATTATAGTCCGGTCTTAACGATTCTTAAAAGTTGCAGCCGGACCCGAGACGACTCTCCTCACGTCTAGCGCGAAGGATTTCGTCGTGAAAGCCACCGCGGAGACTTTAACGTCCGACGACGAAGCGTTCTCGCAGTCTCGACAAAATAATACCATTTTGTAGAAGAATTTTCGTAAAAATTACGTCATAGATATTGCAGATCAAATACCAGATATATGTAGCTTTTTCCACAAATTGATATTTTAGATGAAAAGTCTAATAATATAAATAATAATCGAATTTTTGATGCGGTTTATTATAATATTAGAATAATTGCATTAAAGAGAAATGCATTTTTCAAAGAAAATATATATCTGTATAAGATGTGCGGATAAAAAAGAAACTAAAATTAATGGAGGAAAAATTAAATATCTCTATGTATACGAATATTTTTTATATCTAATTTTAAATAATAAAGATTATTATTTAATTTATTATAATTAATAAATATTAGAGAGATAATAAATAATAAATAAATATAAGATAATTTTGCATCAAACAAGTTGTAATTCTCGCGCATTAGAACGCGTTTCTCTGTCATTTCTTCACTTTGTTTCGCTTTGAATGTATGCGAAAACTACACAGTGGATCGTTTCACTCGTGGTTCGTGAGGGAATGTTAAGAATTTTGCAAAACCATGTGTCGTCGCGAGCGAGCGAGCGTCATCAGGAGCTCGGGGAAGTAGTAGAAGTCGGTAGTATAAGTTTACAACACTGGTTTGACACGGCAATTAAGCGGGAGTTTTAACGATCGATTGGACCGAAGTCTTCCCCGGATGAAAGGCGGGCGATCTGATATATCCTTCGATCTTTCTACGATCTGCGGACAGGATGGCGGATCGCATGTTTCACAAAGTAGATGAGAGATTTTACGGAAATTTCATTGCGACTTGATTTTCAAGTATATTACACGGATATAAGTTGTGTCATTATATGATACCAGATGTTCTTAGGTATTTAAATCTTGAAAAAGTTTATTTAATAAGTGAATATATCGAAGTCAATTTAAATATACTTAATAATTAATTATGTTCTTATTTTTAAATAAAATTTGTATAAACTTTTCTTTCGTCTTGGTATAGATTTTAATAAAGATTCATGATGATTCACATTATGTTAGCATATCCTCGTAAAGATCGCCATGATTTCGAAGGCACTTATATACTGACAAAAAATGTCATAAACAAAAATATATCAGTTTCTAATCGACAATAAATTGTAATAATAAAAATTGGCCGAACAGTTTTTGGTTGATAAAATATCAAGCGATACTTTGTCTGACGTACTCGATGTTATTCGGTAAAACAAACTGCGTGGAGCATATAATCGTGATGAGAGCAGAAAGTTTGCTGCTACGAGTTCAAGTGTCGTTTTTATCACTGGCCCGAAACCTCAACGACCTGTCGTAAAGCTCCGATTTAAACGCTTCGCCTTATGGCGTTATACGTTCGACTCTGGTTTCGCTTAATACCCTCGCAACCGCGCGACAATGTTTCTTTCAAATTTTTGCAAAGCCGTACTGTAACAATGTCATCAAATCTCGTCAAGATTTATCCGAACAAGATTATATTTCATAATTTGTTATTCACAGCATAATTGAACATGACATTTCCTGTAAAAAGTAAAAGGCGAAAATTGACAAAAATAATTGTGAAATTTTATTTAGAAAAATGTTCTGGAAGATTAAATATTTTTTATGTTTATTAAATGATTTTTTCCATTTTTCATTGAGAATATTAACATACATCTTATATTTGTGTAAATAATTCTTGTATTCTTGTACGACAACATTAATAACATAAAAATGTCTGAAAATTTCTACTTTGTTAAATTTTATATATTAAAATGTAAATGTGCATATATATTTTTTCGTGAACCGTAATTTTAATTAACAATTTATCCATCTAATGCTAGCACGGAGAAAGAATTTCGCCTCGCGAGGTAACAACTTGGTAAAATCCCGGCGTCACTCTCTCGCACGTATGAAAATTCTCGCGTATGCATAGAATTCAATTTCCAGGCGTAGCTTCGGTAGCTTTTGCACGCGCGATAACTACGAATTTACATTCGGATCCCGTCAGTTCCTCTCACGATTTCGCGCAATCGAAGCGTTTTACAGCGGCGCAAGATTGAATTCCATCCGACTCGCGTGTTGTACGAACGCTTTTTCCTCTCAGGGAGCCGTCCCTTAAACTCGTCCCTTGTACGACGAAGGATTTCTGCGTCTCTCGTCGTCTCGATACGCACGAAACGGTTCATAAATAATTCGTATAAGGAGAAGTTTACGCCGCGAGGAGGCCGAAGGAGGCGAGTCTACGCGTCGCTCATTATCGAAATAAGCACAAAGTCTTCGCGCGCGTTCGCCAGGAAAGGTGTGTCGCGGCCGTAATCCATGGGATCTTAATTGATCGCCGTCGATTAACGTCGGTCCACGGTCACCCGCAATCTTTCCGAGTTAGTTAGCGAGTTCTTCCGCCGCGACGATATTTTTCGCGATGACGACGAGCGGGATGAAATCTATGAGGATGAGTGACAGCTCCTGTCATATACTCCGTGGCGATTTGAGCGACGACGAGGATTGTCTTTTACTTAAAAAAGAATGTCGAGAAGATGCAACGATAATGCAACGGGTTGAATGCATTTCGCTATATTTATATCGGCTATTTAATGCTAAATCTAGGAGTGAGTTGCGGATATACCATTTTTAGCTTCATAAATAATATTTAGTTTATAAATTGCTTCACAATAGGTTAAACTGTTAAAGTTATAAACATACGTTTAAGATATGAAATTTCGTATTTTGTAAAGTACAAAAAATATATATTGCGTCTATACACACGGTTAACTTTAATATAAAATTAAAATTCTCTAAACATATTATATGTCTTCTTTTTTTTCATCTACAAACATTTCTATAATTTTCATAAACAAAAATGTGTCAATGATCAGATTATCCAAAACGAATATTTTTTTTACTTTTCTCCTATAAAAGTTCTTTATTAAATAACATTTGTTAAATGTCAATTATTTTAAATAAAACTCTAGCTAAACATTGCCGAAACATAAATATCGATATATGAAAAAATAAAATCATATATCATCGCGGTGTATCTTTATCTTGATTTATGCCTCGACAAATTTTATTTTTCGCTCTGCTATCCGCTTCCATCTCAAGATTTATTTGCGAAACACCCGTTAGATCCGGTCGCTGTCGATGCGAAGAAGAGAGCTCGGCTGCGTGCGTGTACGCATGCAAATTTGCAACTTTGTTGCTAAGCACAAACGGAGCCCCGGCTTGACGTTCGTCGGCGTGAGATGTGGTCCGTCAAAAAGCCGTAAAACGCCGTGGGCCTCGTCGTTCCTACCCGCACACACGCGTTTATATGCGCCGGACAGGCACCCGCTCTTTAAGGCCCCGCTGGTCGTTCCCAGGCATCGCCTTAAGCGGCACTCTCGCTCGAAGATAATAAAAGGCGGGCCCGATCGACCCGGTAAACTCGGTGACAACAACGACACACTCGCATCTCTTAACGCAGAAAACTCCGGGCTCTCTTCTCTTCTCGGGCTTGTCTCGCGATCGACGGACCCCGACGGGCCCTCTGGCTTTCTAAATCTTATCGACCGGTTGTAAAACTTTATGTTCGCGCCTGGACGAGAGATTACTTCGAGCGGCGACAATAGCCTCGGAAATAACAGCGCGAATCTTCGCGAGTAAAGTGGAAGTAAAAAGAGCGAAACGATGGAAAGAGGACAATATAAGATAGGATATGTTAATCCTTTCAAATGGTTCCGATGCGTATTACTATAATACGTATACTTATATATGCCTTTTTTCAATTTACTTTTAGTTATATGTGTATTATTATTAGAAATAATATATATATATATATATCTTATATACACACGAGATACTATTAAAAATATATGATACGTAAGCTTTGATATTTTTTATTATAAACATTGCTATCTGAGAGCGAGCTTCACATATATTTCATTAATCTTATATAAAATTAAATTGTATACAATATATTGCAAACACAGAACAAGTATTGCCTAGGAGGATTAATTTATTTTATACTGCAATTTAAATGCGAATTTTTTTTAAATTCTGCAAATATTTCCCAAATGAATAAAAATAACAAAATGAGAAGAAAAAATATATTTTTTCAATATTGTATTATTTATCGTGAATTTAAAGGATTAAAACGAGACGTCAGCTAAATGTTGATAAAATTATTAAAGAAAAATACGAATTATTAAAGAAAAAAAATAATTGATGTCAGAAATATCTTTCCAATGTTTTTTTTTATCATTTTCAAGGCAATATCTATTAAAAGAAAGCGTTTGGCGAACAGGTTTCTCGCACAAATCTCCCGCGATGACGGACTAAGCGAAAACAGTCATGTTCCGACTACGAGAATTGCCTACCACAGGGTTGGCGGCTCGAAAGTCAGCGGCTACGTATAAGGGTGGCCGCATGACGTGCTTCTATTCTCGCGCTCGCCGACGTACCGATGGATCATCCATCCGTCGTCACCCCATATCGCGAGCGGTCCTCGAGCGTAATTTATCCCGTTATGCTAATCGGGACAATTTGTCTAAATTAAAAGGCGCTCGGCCGTTGATCCGCGGTCAGGCCCTTCCCTGTTTTCGACCCTTCCGACCCGTCGTCCTTTCGCCACCGGCTTTTCGTCACTCTCTCTCTTTCTCTTCTCACAATCGCATCGTGTCGTCGTCGCGCGCGCGCGCGCGTTCCATCATTATTTCTGTCGTCGGGGTGGCGAGAAACGACCGCCGGACACTTGCCTGCCTCCACGAGGGAGACGACGACCGTGTTATCGCGGCCAAATCCCGCGGATGATGAGACTTTAGTTTATTGTACGTGCGGCTCGCCCCCGAAAGACAAAGACTCCTCTGATGTCCGCGGATTTGCTTCTTCTCTCGACGACGAGGTCCGAATCGAAGCCGGCAAATCCCTACACCGCGCACGAGACTGGCCTGCGAAATGAGATTCCTTTGAGAAAGGAAAAGAAGAAAGAAATAGCTCTCCTCTTCGGACGCAAACGATTCCCGAGGTCTCGTGAGACTTGCTATTCCAGGATCGACGGAATTTCAGCCACGTTCTATTATTCAAGATTTCGTAATTTGTTTTTCAAACTGGTTGCGAACAATTCTACGACTTTTGACAACGTACTTCTTTTGTTAGTAGGGATAAGCAATAGCTTTCGTAAAAACGTCATGTAGGATTTTTTCTCCAATTTTTCGATCACTAAACGCAATCTATCATTTCATGCAAGAGAGAATAAATGTGGATAAAGAAATATATAGAGAGAGGCAAAGGCTATAATAAAAAAGAGACACTGTCCGTACTAACATCACTCAACGTTACGTCGCAACATTATGTGTTGTCCCCTATTTCTTAGGGCTTTCATCCTAATCGTCTCTTCTAGATCAGAAGCTACGGTAACTTGCGCGCTGATGACGCCAATGACGATGATGATGGCGGATCGAGCGTTTAGAGGCCGCAAACACGGCACTGCTAATATCCAATCACATCGCTTCCTCCGGCATCAACAAGCGTTCGATCGGCTAATTTTCCATAATTAAACCGCCATAAAGTCGCCACGGCTGGAACGCGTTTCGCGAGTTCCGCGTCGCGGTCAGTTCGGAATCGATCGGAAGGGAAGGATTCGGTAATTATCCACGCTTGATGGCTCTCGTTGTGACAATTCGTGGAAAATCGCCGATCGATTCAATGACGCGTACGGCGTCATTAGGACGTGACGTTTACTATGATATCTCGTTTGCACCACGATCTCGCATTTCGAGAAAAATTATGACACCTTCAACAGAAACGATTTGTTTTTGATAAATTAAGTAAATACATTTTCTTAACATAATTTTTGTGAATATTCTATGCAGGATATCCCAGAACTGGCGGACAAGTTTTTTCAATGGTAGATTCCTGGTATCGTTTGGAGATGATTTTTCCTTAATAAAAATGTTGAGGGAGGCTATCATTTTTAACATGTTCCAAATTTTTGTTATTATGTTATCTTTATAACTAAGTCTTATATTAAAATTCTATTAAAGCAAACTCTATCTAAAATTAACTGAAGAATATGTTCTGTTAATATTCCATTTAGCCACAAGGCTTAGTTTTCAAAATAACCTTTATTTTCAATTGCTTATAACTCGAAAATTATTGATGTCTCGACATTTTCGCTTGAGGAAAAATCGTCTCCGAATGATATCAGGAATCTGCCATTAAAAACTTTTCCGCCAGTTCTGGGACATCCTTGTACATGTAAATGTTGTAAACATCAAAAGATGTATATTTAGAGAAACGCAGTTTTCGCATTTCACGTTCGGCGAACTCTCTTTTATATATTTTACATCTTTATTTATTACTCCGTTTATATCTTTTTATCGAAATTTATTTACTTCGCGATACGCATATTCGAAGAAAAATTACCCGGTTACTCGCAGTTGCTGAATCGTTCGCGGATGATCGGTGTAACGTAACGCGCGGGCGGACTAAAGCTATATACGCGCGCTGGCATGCTAAGCTATATAAATCTGAGCATCTTACGGCGGCATAAGTCTAAGGATTAACTGGCGGATCCTCCGCCGGGTACCAGCATCTCGCCTGGCGCTACCACCAGGATTGATCCTCCGCCGACCTTCTTCTCGTCCGAAGTATCCTCCTCGTCTTATATCTGTCCGCGATATTTCTCTCCTCCTTCGAATCAGCGCGCCGGCGTTAATTTTTTTTCTTTTTTTCGAGAGAGAGAGAGAGAGAGAGAGAGAGAGAGAGAGCCATTGTTATTCGGTCGGGACGGCCTGATTAAATCCATTATTCGTCGCCTGATCATCCGGATTTTCAAGAGAAAGCTCGGGTTCTTCGCCATAATCCGAGTCTGCTTTTGCAAAATTAGAGAAAATTGTATTTTATATATATTTTCGAGAAAATTAGAAAATATGTAAAGAATAAATAGTTGGAAGTTTTATTTAAGTAAAAATTAAACAATAAAAAATATATAGAAATTTTACTTTTTCATAATATTCTTTACGTTATATATATATACAGGGTGTCCAGTAACTAACGGACCAACGATTACAAGTGGATTCTTTGGTCAATTTGGGAACGATTTTTCCTCAGCGAAAAAATGTCATCATTTTTTTACAACTTTCCAATATTTGTCATTATGTATCTTTATAACTAAGCCTCAAATTAAAATTTTATTATAGTAAACTCTACCTGAAATTAACTGAAGAACTCGAAAATTATTGACTTCTCAACATTTTTGCTAAGGAAAAATCGTCTCCAAATTGGCCAGAGAATCCGCTCTTACTCATTGGTCCGTTAGTTATCGGACACCCTGTATATATATTTTTTTCTAGATTTTTTCTATACATTCAGGATGCTATAATAGAATACTGTCGAAGAGTTAAACCGCGAATATCGTCGAAAATGTGCGAATATATTCCCAGAGGCTCTTTAAAAGCTATTTGCTCGAGGCGAATCGTTGACCAACTTTTGTCTGTTTCCATCTTCGGAGGAAACAGACGGCTGCTTGGTATTCGCGTCGGTCTCGAAGGGCGATGGCGAGTATAGCTAAAGGGGGTGTGTGTGAACGCGAGAGAAAGAGACAGAGAGATACAGGTTTCCCGGGGGCGGCTGATGAGGTATTGATGATAGGATCGCGTCAACACCAGCTGAGCCAATTACACGCCTAAATCTCCATTCTCTCTCTCTCTCTCCTCTTCACTTTCCTCCGCGAAATTACATCTCTCTTGCATTTATCGCGTATCCTAATGCTGATCGATAACACTAACTTGTGACATATCAAAAACCTGTTATGAAATTTATATCGTTACATACATCGTAAAATTTATAAAAATATAAAAAAATGAAAAATTGGTTTAGCTGGCTCCTATAAAGTTAGTTAAATTACATATTATGGAAATGATTGATAAGTTGACTTTAATTTTAATTGATTTTTTAGTATATATTTTTCTTTTTGGAGGTACACACCCAGTCAATTAAAACTAAACTTCATCACGATACTGAAATCCATTACTAAATTTTTTCCAATAATTAAATGTGTGTTTAAATTTTTTTTATTTGAAATATTAATTATCATGCTTAGCATCTATCCGTAAAACCAGTTTTCGCACTCTCCGAGATTTCTCTGCGGTCGTAATATCAAGTAAGTCCCGGATTGCAATAATATCGTCAGTTGAATCGTTCTTGGACGAAGAAGGGAGAGTTTTCGCGATCAAATCCGTGGTAAAGTTCACTCTCGTCACCTCGACGATACTTTATCTTACTTAAGCCGGATACGATTCGACCCGCCAATAATGTTTCTGTCTTTTTTTTGTTTCAGGTAAGTGTAGCCCCACACACACGACGTTATCAGCCATTCAAAGTAGTAGAATGTCTTTTCTCATCAACAGCTTTATCTTTAACGCCTGTGTATACGCTCGTAAGTAACAGGACGTTCGTCTTAGACGAAGAGCGATAAGAGACGCAGCCGCGCCTCGCAATAATCGTATATGAGAAAGTGGACCCGCAAAGAGGGCCTCACTCTTTTTATGTCGCTCGTAAGTTCTCATCGCGGCCGATATGGAATGCTTCGAGCTTCGATTCTTATCGCTCTCGTGACGTTTGATTTTACTTTGCCGATCGGGAAATCTTTACTCTTTCGTCTTGGATGGGTAAACTCCCGCATTTATTATATATACAGGGTGTCCGGTAACTAACGGACCAAGAAAAAAAGGAATCCTTAATTCAAGTATATTTTTATTCTCGAACGCTATTTGATTGATTTAAGCATAGAATGCTCTTTGTAATCACAAATTTTCACTTGCCTTAATAATAAATAAGTTTGTGTAAAGTATATTTTATCCTTAAGATATATTCTTGTTTTAAAAATCGCATATGGTAAAAACAAACTTAGTCACATTTGAACTAAGAATTATTATATATATTTGAAAGTATCGCTTATATCCGATGCTCACTTGTCACTTGTCCTTGCAATATTTATAAATAAGTTTTAGCTTCAACCAAGAATATTTTGCACTTTGTTTTAAGGATAAATTATTCTTTATCCAAAATTATTTATATTTGGCGCTATTATAAGGATAAAATATACTTGAATCAAAGCATATTTGCATTCTTTCAAGGATACTGTTTTTTCTGTGAATATGATTAAGGGCGGATTCTCTGGCCAATTTGGAGACGATTTTTCCTGAGCAAAAATGTTGAGAAGTCAATAATTTTCGAGTTATAAGCGATTGAAAAAATGGGTTTTTTGAAAACTAAACGTTTTGGAGTTAGTCTAACATAATTACATTCTCCAGTTAATTTCAGGTAGAGTTTACTATAATAAAATTTATATCGTTAGACATACATTGTAAAATTTAGAAAAATATAAAAAAATGAAAAATTGGTTTAGCTGGCTCCTATAAAATTAGTTATATTACATATTATGGAAATGATTGATAAGTTGACTTTAATTTTAATTGATTTTACAATATATGTTTTTCTTTTTGGAGGTACACACCCAGTCAATTAAAACTAAACTTCATCACGATACTGAAATCCATTTAAAATTTTTTTCAGTAATTAAATGTGTGTTTAAATTTTTTTTATTATAATAAAATTTTAATTCGAGGCTTAGTTATAAAGATACATAATGACAAATATTGGAAAGTTGTAAAAAATGATGACATTTTTTCGCTGAGGAAAAATCGTTCCCAAATTGACCAAAGAATCCATTCGTAATCGTTAATCCGTTAGTTACCGGACACCTTGTATTTATCAGAACAACGCGAGACTCGAATCAGGTCTCGGCTATAACGATCTTATTTACGAGAAAGACCATTTTTTTTCTCGCATGCGGTCTCATATATCGTACGATTTTAAAATCGTCAAACTTTGAAAAAAAATTATTTTTGTTTGCGACAGTTTCGAATGAATGTAAACCACTTTGGAGGTACACGCTTTTGATTCGTAAACTTGAATATCGAAGTAACGAAGAGAGAGAGAGAGAGAAACATGCAAAAATATTTTTGTTTCTCTGACATGGCTATCAAATATCGTCCATGTTAAAAAAAACTTGCCGCTGTAATCTTGCATTGATCGAAATTCTGGCAGCTTCTATATTTGCTTCTATATAAACGTAACACGTGCGCAACGCGTGAAGTCCCGGGACGCGAGCATACGTTATTCCTGGCGGCGTTTTCGCCCGAAGGGGATGGCTATTTGTCGCGGCATCGTGGTTCGCCTCACCACCTTTGAATAACAAACTGGTAGGAAATAACAAACGCGTCGCTACATTGAAATAGCCCCGACGGGGTCATATCTCACGCCCGAGATAGGAGGAAAGAGTGGAAGACATTTTCGCGAGAAAGATGCGGGATCTTCTCTCTCGAAGGGTGAGAACAGGCACTCGAAGAGAAGCCGCGAATAAGAGAGGACGAACGGGGGCGTTCTCTCTTCTCTCGCGAAATCGCCTCCCAAATCTCGCGTGAAAATTACCCTATTGTGTGTCGAGGATCCTGGGAGGGAGAACGGATAGGCGACCTCGTATTTCATCCCTCGGTTACATAATCGGCTTTTTGTTTCACGTTTTTATCCCCGAAGCGAATCCTATCCCCTTCCTTTCCATCCCGCGGCTGGCTACCTTTCTGCCGACGGATGGAACACGGGTCGGCGGATACGAGGGGATGGTGAAAAAGTGCCCCGAGGATATCGTAAACCTTCTTCTTCTCCCTTCTACATCTACTCTGCCGCGCTCGATTTGTTTCCGAGCACCTCTTCGTGGTTCGCGCCCGAAGACGGCCTAAATCGACCGGCAACGAGCTTCGTTTGCGGGACCGAAGAACAACTCACCCCGGTTTTTATCTATAACCCGAGGTTAACCCTTGACCCACCAAAAATGTCATCCTTATTTTTTAACTCGGGAATATTTTTCAGCGATTTGACGAAGACGTTGAAATTATTACTCGTACACAATTTTCTCTTAGATTTCGCTTTGAAAATCATGGCAAATGTAGGAGAATGTGGTATTGGAAGAATTTCTCTCTGGTTAATATTTATCATAAAAATATTAATATACATATTAATATGTTTTATCGTGGTAAATCATAATCAGAGCAAGTCTTATAAAATTAATATAATTTGTAACAGCTCTTTAAAAATTAATATACAAAAGGCAATAAGAGCTAATTAAGTTCTTTCATTGATATTTATTCGTGGAAAAAGATTTGTAACATAAAATATTAGGTAGAAATAAATTCGAACGTTTCCTTTTTCAACCTTCTTCAGCGCATCATTTAAAATTAAAGATTAATAGAAATTAACAATCAATTATTCATAACTGTCATTATAATAAAACTATGCAGAAACACAGTTATTTGCATAAAACTACGTCAAGCTATTTTTTTTTTAAAACGAAATCAACGCATTTTTTAAGCATGAGCATTTTTATATATTCTATTCCTCGAATCGTCATTCTATGTATTTAATTGTCGCGAAACAGATCTCTCGCTAATTGTTCGGTTGCGAATCTCGATAACAGCAATTGTTAATATGTCTATAAAATCATTGTATCCGAAAAATTAACATTAAAAGATAAGTAAATTAATAAAAATAGTCTTACAATTAAATCGAGTAAGATATTATATTGTGACGCGGAGGCTTTCAGATGTTGATTGCTCGAGGTTACAATAACGAATGATTTTTATCTCTCAGAGAGACGACCACACAACGGAGAAAATAGTTAGTTGTTTATGTTTTTTAACTTTCATATCTTAGATAGTCTATGTATTATATCGTCATAAATTAACTGGCAAGCCATCAATATCTGTTTTTAAATTAAGTTTCTATATTGTTCAGTGAGTGTCGGTAAGAATAAAATTTTATAAAATTCATCCAATACCCACGATATTGTCCCACGATAATCATGATTTTCACGGTAAATTCTAAAAGAAAATTCTCTCCATGTATATATATTTTTTGAAGCATAAAAGTTGTATAATTCTAATTGAGCTTGTTCTCTCTCTCTCTCTCTCTCTATTGTGATTGCCAAATAATATATCGCTTTAATTAAAAATTCACGAATAAAAGTTAGAGAGAAAAGATACTAAAGAAAGAGGGTAACGAGAAATTTCGGAGAGAGAAAGAATGCAAAGTATATATTTTTTCATTTCCATAAAAGTTTACGAAAAAAAAAAAAAAGAAAACCGGCTTTTGTATAATCTTCATACTTACGATTTACGACGTTTGAAATTTTCCACGTATTACATAATATGAAAAGAACACACATACTTTGTTCGCGCTCGGTGCGCTCTTTATCAGCGCAGGATGATGATTATTATACGAGGACGTAGTCTCTCGAAAATCACGAAAATCTCCTAGCTTCTTTCCTGATAACGAGCACCGTCACCTTGATCACCCGCCTATCGGATATCGCGTCCCAATTAACCCGATTTTAACGACCCGATATTCGCCCTCTTTTCCTTTCGTTCTCTCTCTCTCTCTTTTTTCATAACCAGTCCGCGATATACACTCGTACACCGAAATGTCGAAAAAAGGCAAAGCACACCGCTCGGTCATTCGGTACATAGCGTTGAGTGGTAGTCAGGTATTATCAGGGGGTTATCGACGTATAGTCTGTGAAAGGGCGGGAAATGGATGGACAGAGAGGCCGATGTGGACCATATGCCACCCAGTATGTTCAACACTCTCTCACCGGGACAGTCCAGTCCTCGACTCGAGGCCTCTCCTCTCTTGTTCGCCGTTTCCCCTTTTTGCTCCGCTGCGTCCTCTGACCTTCTATCATCATAATCGATATATTATACCGCGGTCTGTATTTTATTCACGTGTCACATCGTGGCACGAATGCGTTTGTTCGGGATATATCGCGCGCCACCTCGTTTCTCTTCTTCTCCCGTTCTCTTTTTCCTCCATCTCCTCTTTTTTTTTTTTTCTTTCTTTCTCCGATTATTTGATCAGCGAGAGATCGCTTTTTTTGGATTTTTTGGATTTAATTATGACGCCGAAAATGCTGGAGATTATCGCGAGAGGACAAATTAGACGGTCTCTACATGAAGTTAACGCGGCTTTTTGCCGACTCGCGTTTTTCACTGTTTTCGTGGAAAAAAAAAAGTGCATTGTTTTTTTAGGTAAATTAGATTCAATTTATTATTACCGAAACAAACGAAAACATATAATTATATTTACAAGCGTGTAACGTAAAAGATGAAAAATCTCGAAATCATCTTTGAATTATCGACGAGTCATCTCGCGAAATCTTGTCCAGACTCGAGCTTTTCTCATCTCCGACAAGAGTATTTTTCCACACGAAGTTTCTTGATTACATCCCGGTGACATCCAGTGATGTAATAACTTCGAACTTTGTCAGAGATGAATCGGGCGAACTCCTCTCTCCGCGAAATATATAAGTATTAACGTCTTTTA